ATTCTCAGAACACCGGCTAAATAAAGGCTACCCAAGGCAAAATAATCAAAAGGCTTCGATAAAATCAGCCCTCGAAAAACCTTAAGAGGTATCAAATTATTCAAATACAAACTTGTGCTAAGGCACTAAAAATAAAGGGTTTCGATCGACACCAAACCCTCAAAAAACCCAATGGGTAAAAAATACATGCCAAGGCATAAATAAATTTTTAAGTCTTCTAAGCCGAAAAGGGAAAATAATAGCCATCTCTTAGAGGCCATAATGGCCCGATCTAAAAGAGCCTAAGGGCCGATACACTTAGGGTTCGAGATATTGTTCTCACCCGACCCGAATCCAAGGGTTCGATTATCCCAAGCCTAAGTAAATAATAACTTGATTATGGCTTGGGGACTCACCATTATCCGGCGCGAGCTCGTAAGGGTCTATGCCCCCAAAGTTCGAACCTTATTTGAACTCGACCACGACGATTTCAAAGAAAACATCTGAGATAGAATCTCGAACACACCATTCAAAGAATGAAATTATTACAAGAATTTTGTAAGGCAGGAAACATCGAAAAACCATTCAAGGAAATTCTTCTTTTATATACTTGGAAAAGGATATGTACAAGAGACCAACAAAGGGTCTTACAAAAAGAGAAAGAAAAATCCTATCTATGCCCAGGGCTGGCCTCTCCCTCGGGAGCAGCTTCCCCTTCGGGCCAACTTCATTATCGAACCCGCCTTGGCTGTCTTCGTCATCATCATCGTCATCGGAGGAGATGAGAAACTTGGTATCGGCTTCGAGCGCTTTTGCTTGAGCTAAAGAATTTTTCTCTTTAGCACCCCGGAGTTGGGTCTCAGCCGAGGCCAGTTTGGCTAGAGCAGCTTCTTTCTCAGCAGCAAGCCGGTCCATACTTTCCTTCCACCGGTTGCAGTCGGCCTTAACTTGATCGACCTCCCCTCGTAGCTGCCTGATCATCTCCAATTTTTGCTGCAGGCGAGACACTGAAGTGTTAGCCTCCACAGTTGGGTCAAGTTGACCATACTCTTTCAAAATGACGGTTACCTGCTCGTCTAGCTCGGCCTTATTTTTACGGGCTTTGGCCAAATCTGCCCGAAGGTCCTTGAGCTCCTCCTCCTTTTGGCTGCAAAGGAGCTTCAGGGCCTTCCCCTCGTCCGAGGACTTCTTGAGCTCGGCCTCACATTGGCTCAGTTCGGCCCTAAACCTGGTAATGGCCTACACAGAAAAAGAGATATCAGTTAGAATAGGGAGAGAAAAAGAATTGCAACGATAAGAGTTAATGTTTACCCGAGAGAAAAGACGATGAGCCTCTTCGAAGAGGGTAGATGCGTCGTTGAGGTCAGCGACATCATCCACCCCAGTAAAACGATCCCGAAAAGGGTCTTCTTCACCGAGGACTCTGCTCGGGTTAGGCGTTCGCAGAGCTTGAGTTTCCCTTATTGCCTCCTCAGAATAAGCTGGTAGAGGAGGAGAGTGACCTATTGTCATGGCCCCGAGCAAGTCGCTCGGGGTACTCTGTTCAGCCCCGGGGGTCTCGGTACTTGTCCCTTTTGGTGTACTTGTTGAAGGCGGAGGAACGATCTCGACCTAAGGTGATTCTGGGGCTTTGCCTACATTTTTCTTCGGAGCCTCCTCACCCCGAGGCAGGGTTTCCGGTTCGGAGGGCTTAGCAGCTTCAACTGGCCTCCTAGTTTGGACCACCAGCGCCGATTCTTCGCCCTCGTCCTCCTTTTCATCGTTTAGTTGATGGACTAAGTCTATGTCCATGTGAATGAGTTTCCTCCTTTGCCTCCGAGTAGGACCCCTCTTATCTTGGGGCTTTCAGGTTTCAAAACCCTTTTTCTCTTATTATATTTCCCCGATTTTGGAATCGAGGACTCGGTCTCTTTCCCTGGCGGGGCTGGCCTCATTTCAGAGGCATCTCCAATACCTACATGAATGAAGATCAGGCATGAGTAAGGTGAGATCTCCAGTAAAGGGGAAGCGTCAAAAGCTTGGGAAAAGGACTTACCGTGGCGTTTGGCCTCCCATTTGCCCCTCGCCAAGTCACGCCATTTGCGCTCGTCATACGAGGAGGTCGCAGCTAATTTCCGGACCTAGTCTTCGAGGTCGGCGACCGCATGAGGTATCCAAGCAACCGCTGCAAAAAAGGTGAAGGCATCACATAATGCGAAAAAGAATATTAAGAGGATACTGGGAAAAGGACTTCATTTACTATCGGGGTTCCATTTCTCTAGGAGTGGCATTTTTTCCTCGAGGATGACGTTTGAGGTCCTCACTCGCACGAACCGGCTCATCCAGCCCCGGTCCTTATCATCGTCATTGCTAGCGAAGAAGGCCTTGCTCGATCGGCGCTGGAGCTTGATCAACCCTCGGGAAACCTGAGGCCGATACAATTGGATGAGGTAATTGAGGGTGAACTCTAGCCCCTCGGCCTTGCTCGAGAAATAGCGAAGCATAATCACTATACGCCAGAAAGAAGGATGGATCTGGACGAGGGTGACCTGATACCTGTTGCAGAAGTCGATCACAATTAGATCGAGGGGACCCAACGTAAAGGGGTAAGTGTAAACACTTAAGAACCCCCCCACATGAGTAGTGATACTCTCCTCGGGGGCAGGGATCTATACCACGACCTTGTCCCCCCAGCCACAGTCTTTCTTCATGGTCTTGAGGTGCTTCTCCGTTATCGAGCAAATATACCTCGATACATGATCGCATCGACCAAGAATCGCGGGAGGATTTTCAACTCTGAAGTCTTTATTTATAACGCAGGGCCAGGAATGATCTCGTGAAGGGCCGACGCTTTATCACCGGCTGGCTGGGAAGAGGAGGAGGAAGCTTTCTCCTTTTGAGGAACTGTTTTAGAAGTTTTCGCCATTGATTCGAGTTAGAGAAATTGTAGATAGGCGGAGTTTGATATCTTCTGGCACTAAAAGAATGAGAGTAACGGTTAATAAGAGAGAAGAGATGAAGAGAGGGAGATATAAAAAGAGTTTGGAGATGGTCTGAAGATTGAAGTAAAATATTTTCCGAAATTGAACCTTGCATTTATATGCAAGCGGCGACGATTCAACGGTGCTAGTGGCCGACCACCATTGGTGAAGCATTTAATGTTTTGGGAAAGAGAACCGACGGGACGTTTCGGACACTTCGAGCGTCTATGTCACGGGAATGACGTCATCATCAAGGACTCCGGAAAATCGAGGCTCAAGTCGTTTCTTATCATTTTATTCTAAGAAACCCGGGGACTATCTATATACGGTGAAATCATGTGTCCCCGGTTTTATAGGCTTGAGGGGTCGCATCGTGAAGCAAGTTCAATATGGACCAGGCTCGAGCCCGATGACAGAATACTATACTCAAAGATCAGAGTGCTTGATGAACGTCGAGGCCGAGTACGACCAACCTTGATATAATACCGTTATGGTTTTATAACAGAAAGAGCAAGATTCCCGTGGTGGCCCTAATATCACGGCGTAAATTCCGGAACGGATTTGTACTAGGCGGTTAGACAGCTGTATAATAAGATTCCCTACTACAATTAGAATTGTACCTTATTTAGGATTCTCCTACTATATAAAGGGGACCCCATTCATTTGTAAGAATTAAACATTGAGAAGAGAATATACACTTTCACTTTCTTGCCTACTGTTCATCTGAATCGCCTTATTATTATTTTATTGTTTTTGTTCACTTACCTTGAGGTCGACCTTACTCGAGGTCGAGGCCTGCTTACACGAGTGGTTTGACTTGCCTTACTCTTAAATTTGTACATTAGATTCCTTGTTTATCAATTAAGTATTGGATTAAATCACATATCTTTAAAACCACAAAACAAGTTTAGTTGTTACTCGGATTTTAGGGTAAACAAACGTATAATTTAATATACCAAATACCCCTTCATATCAAAGTAACGCATCAAAATCCTAGAGATAATATCTAGCATGATTAAATCTCTTAAATATCTCTTCATGACAAGAGGGGTTGCTCCGATGGTCAGCACCCCCACCTACAACCTCAAGGTTGTGGGTTCGAGTCACCAAAAGAGCAATAGCTGCAACAAAGGGGATCAAAGGGGAATCAAAGAAAAAAAAAATAGTCATATACGCAAATAAGGCATAGACAAAAAGAAATATATCTCAAATATAAAGAAGCCTAAATTCTACTCCAAATATGGTATAACATTAGCGCCCGCATATATGCTCATTGCTTCGCATATGTGTCGCCCCCAAACATGCAGTAATTTGCATATAAGATCATTTTATGAAAAAAATCCTCAAATTAATTTTCACACTCGATATTAAGATAATGGAAATGTACATCTGGCAAAAAAAATGTCCTTGTGTAATTACAAGTTAATTAAATCACCTACATTATATCTGTTTATAAAGTGCTTCAAAATTATGGATGTCGATCATAATTTGCTAGTGATTTGAAGCTAATGGTCATTTAAGACGGTCATAATTACACGAATATTTTAATACTTCTTTTATTTTACTTGTTCCTTTCATTAAATCGCATGTACTCCCTTTGTTCCCGTTTAGTTGTCATGTACATTAAAAATTATAGTTTCCCGAATACTTGTCAATTCAAAAAATCAAGAGATAATTAATTATTTTTTACTTCCAACTTTGATCTTAGTATTAATTGTTCTAGTAAAGTAACAGATTAGCATAACTTTAACCATCAGATTCTTAAGCACATATCAAAATACTGATCGACTAAAGATATTCTTAAATAAATTACAGTACTGCATAGCAGCATAAGTAATTGTCAAATATATTTAAATCAATTAGTAAGAAAAAATATGTACAAGATGCAAAGAGCAATATATTGAGATGTGCTTCTTTGTTTTGTCAAACTTATAGGGGCAAAATTAAAGTATCGAAATCTTCAAACACCAAATTACACAAATCAAAACTCGATGGTCCCATTATGAAATTTAGTAAAAAGTAAAAACTGATCCTGTGAATTACAAAATGACGAAATTGCCCATGCGAAGTACGCCGCAGAACATGAAAATTCAGAAGTCAAATAGATACAAAAATCTTCCATTGAAGCAAACTAAATACTTACAGTTACAGAGATTGTTTTAAGGAATCTCTGTGTTGTTGTAATTTATGTACTATTTATAATGTATTTGCTAATAAATCTGTCTGAAAATCCGATGGAAGCAGCATTTACCGGCGACGCCGTCAGCGGCGGCGGCGGAAGTGAGATGTCGAAATCATTGGCAGTGATTGCGTGTATTGCGTTGGCAATTTTCTATGTTGCAATTTTGTATTCTCCGACGTTGATTCTCCGTTTACCGCCGCCTGATTCGTTTCAATCATACATGATCCGACGGTTCATATGCGCCGCCATTTCCTCTGTTTTCTCGCTCATTGCTTGCTCTCTTATCCTCCCTGTAAGATTTTTCTTTTTCAGATACTATTTTCTGCTTTGTTAATATTTGACTTCGATATTCTGATTCCATTTTTATGACATAATTTGATATGCTGCTCTCTCCGTTCTAAATTTATGCGACACTTTTAGCTTTTTGAGAGTCAATTGACTAATCTTTGAAGCTAAATTAGATTAAATCAACTTAATAATTTGAATTTAAAGTTTAGATATTCAAAAACTTTATGAAAAGTACAATAAGTTGCAATTCTTCTCGTGTCAATATAATGAAAAGTAGATCTTAAAACGTTCGTCAAAGTTCACACAGTTTGAATCTCGAGAAACTAAGCTGTCAATTTTGAAACATGTAGTTAGACAGTTAGAGAACCTCAAGTGTGGCTATAAATACTTGTCATTAAAGGTAAAACTTGAAATTCAAGGGTAAATTGTTTTCAGAATTAGAAAGGTGTCCGTTCCTTTTGGAACTGACTAATAAGGAAATGGTGTCATTCTTTTCTAGGCTTTTACTAAAAAAAGTTAGTTCTTTTTTCCCTTCTGAAAGTCTCACTATGTTTATTCAAGAATATGATAGTCTGTGCCGCTATGTTACATACAACCAGAGAATTCAATTCATATGCTCAGTTAATTTTGAGGAATTAATGCCAAGGACAGATAATCTCGGGTGAGGAGGATGATGAGTTTAGTTAACTTAAGGGGTAGTTTGGTCGACATGTTAGTTATGCGGATTATAGTTCCGCATGGATTGCTTATGAGATGCTTAATGATGAGGGATTGTTATGCGCTGATTATTTTTGCTCATGAGACCAACCAAACATTGCAGTATGATTTTATGCTGGGATTAATCATTCCAATAGAATGAACCAAATCATAACTGTACCATGATCCTTTGTCCTGGCCTATATAAGTAATTTAGTGTGTTTCGTTGTTTCCAGTGTTTGGCTATGTTGTGATCTGGAAAATGCCTTTCTCTGTAAAATATTTTCTACTAAATGGGAAAACTGACTTCACTCCTACTCTGTTTCAATCAACTCTTAGGCATTGTTGTCAGCATTTACGAATAAAATCATCTAAACATTATTCTCATACCCTCTCCTACACCTTGTACAATTACTGTAAATCTGCTACTTTATACACACCCAAAAGGGTAATATGATCAAGAAAATGATTTTCTAAGGGAAAATATTTTTTGCAGAAAATCTTTTCCATAGAAAGCATTTTACTATAAGTTCCCAACTTTTATAAGAGATAGGAACATTATACTAAGTGGAACGGCCATCTTGCATCAGAGTGTTTTTCTGTAACTTCTATTCTATAAAGGCTAAACAAGTGAGGAAAGAAGCTTCTTAATCCGAGTTACAGAAGCTCGATTTTAAATTCTACATCTTTGTTTTGGTTCATATTTGTCATATACATTAAGTCTTCATAGTGTCCTTGTTGATATATCACTTCATCTTAGTATTAAGTCCTCATAGTGTTCTTGTCGATATATCACTGTACCTTCATATTTTTTGTCCCAGAGGACAAGTATGTTCATCTAGGGTGATGACTCACATGCTACAAAGCGTTGACAACTAATGTCACGTATATGGGTAATAATCCACAGACTAAAAAGAATGAAAGGTGAGGTTTAATTAGGGAAAAAAGAAGGGAGAGTGCTCCAACATCTATTTGGAATATTTTCTTCAATGAAATGCAACTGCTTTTCTTTCAAAACATCTGGAATTCCTGTCCTTCCATATTGTCCATATTAAGCAGAGGTTTCAAAAGGAACCTCTTTGTATATGTGTGAGTTTTTTCTGTCGGCTTGTGTATATTTCCATTCTAATTGTCAGTTAGGAATTAGGATATGTGTTATCTCTTATGTAGCTCTTAAACTAAATACTTAGATTTTTCTGGAAGTCAGGACCCACCTTGGTTTTGCATAATCAGGGTCCATTCGTCCATGAGCAAATCATTGATGTCTAAACTTTTATGCAAAGTTTCATTTACCAGCAACTTCCTTTTATATTCTCGATCTGATATGTTTTTCGAATCTTTCAGATTCAGTGGGGTAAATCTCACCTTTACAGTGTTTATGGCATCAGATTGGATCATATGGTAAGTATCAGATCTTCATTGGATGAATTATTATGCATGAGACCAAGCTCTGCATGTGTTTGTTATCAAATTCTGCTCTTTTACGATTCGCAGATCGAGAAATGGTGACTGATTGCTGAAATGCAATTTTATGTTTAAAACAGTGGCAAGCTGTTGTCTTTCCTCTTACATTGACTTCCTTAATGTACGCTGGCACCTTGATCCTCAAGCTGTTATTGTTGCTAGACTCTGGCCAAGAAGATCAGGAAAATGGAAGAAGCTTGTCACTTGACAGTATTAAAAATGTTGTTTGTGGATTTATTGAATCGACCTTTTCACTGGCTTCTGATATTTCAGCATGGCGTAATTATCTTGTGGTCAGTAACTTTAACGTTAAGCTTGTTACCTTCTCTGTTCACTATGTTAATGCAATTGCCTATCTGATTTTCGTTTCAGGATCAAGATTTATTCTAGTCCTTCTATTTCATGATCGTGAGATCAATAATTATTGTACCCTCAAACTTCTATTCTTACTAGCTTAGTTTTCTTGTAGCTTTTGTACCAAAACTCCCTGCATATTTGGTATATAGATATAGATGCATTTTCTATATAGTGTTTGGTAACATCAAACTAGAAATATATCGAGTCTTTTGTTTCTTTTTGTTTTCGGGGTGGTGGGGGCTAAGTTGCTCGGACTCTTCACTTTTGGTACCGCACCCGTGTCGACACAACGTGAGTGCGGGTGTGGGATCCGTACTGGAGTCAACCGACCTTTGATACTTTGACCAAAAAGAGAAATTTGGGACATATATAATGATTTCTGAAATCAAAACAAAAGCTAGGTGAAATTAAAGAAAACGGAATACCTTGTATATAGAAATTTCTATGTCACTCCTTTTCCTTTTGTCTTCTTTTGGGATTCTCCTCTTGATCAATATTTCAGTTATTTCTAAACGAATCACCGCACCCGTATTCATACTTGGATCCGTACCCCCGAATCTTAAAATTTAGATCATGAAGGATCCGACCTCTAGATCCGCACTCGAGTCCAAGTAACTTAGAGTGGTTGGGGGGGGGGGGGGGGGATCAAGTCTTCTTTATAGTAATCTCTTTGAAGCAAATATTACGTACTCCATCAACTCCATTTTGGCTTGTCTGATTCTTTTTATGAAGTTAGGGGATTTCATTAGCGGATGCAGAACTTAGAAAAGAGTGAGCTCCATTACAAGAGTGCAGACAAACAGAATAAAGGAGCCAACAAAATCAAGGAGGGGTTTTTAATATTATGTACATGTTGTAAATTGCTCCAGAGAAAAAGGTTTAAGAGACACCTAGCATTTAGAGAGTGTTTAGGATTTGAAGTTCCATCAAAACATTTGCTATTTCTCTTTGTCCAGATACACCAAAAAATGCAAGCAGGCATTGATTGCCAAATCTGGGGAAGTTGTTTTCAAGGGAGAGTTGCCTATCCGGCTTCCTAACTCCTAGACCACCTTGTAATTTTAGCGACTTAACTCTGTCTCAAATTTAACAGTTAGTAGTATTTATGCTGCGAGCTATTCCCTTCCTATAGGAAATTTTTCCTGATTCTGTCTAGCCGCTTGAGGACTTTGCTGGGGATGGTAAAGTGACATGAAGTATGTGGAAATATTGTCCAGTATGCTGATGATTAATATTGACCTGCCTCCCATTGACAAATATTGTTTTTGGCAAGTATCTAACCTTTTCTCAAAACTGTCTATGACGCATCAGCATATAGGAGGTGTGATACAGTGACTATATCTCAATTTCTGTTGCCTACACTAAAGCCCTTAAGCCATTGACTTTGCACTGCCGCAGCAAGATGCACGCTTAAGTCTTGAACGGGTTATCATGTCAGAATTGGAGATACTTAAGGATCTCTCTAAAGAGCTTCCTGTTTGTTGCGTCCTATGTCAAAATTATGTTCAAATAAACTAAATACGTGTTTTCTGAATGCACTCTTTTCCAGTCCTTTCGAAGGGGATGTGCTTGACGTGCAGCCCAAGATGTTTTGGTATTAAACTCCTTTAATATCATCTTGTAGATTCTCCTGTCACATAAACAAAATAGATATAACATGACTTATTTTTATTGTAGGACAAAAAGAATATCTAGAAGTGGTGCTGCACGATAAAACAAGATACTTTATTAAGAGTTAGACCAATTTTAAACATTAAGATTCATGATGGTATTTAGTATTTTCTAATATAGCTTATATGTCCAAGTCTCCCAGTATAATAATTTTTATTTTGAGAGTTTAGCTTTAACTTTTAAGAAGATTAGTACTATTGTAATTTAATTGCAGCGAATGCCGATAACGAAATATGTGGATCTTGATCTCCATTTCTTAGGTGCAACCAAATAATCCAACATGTTCTGAGAAATTGCTTCTAGTATGTGAATATCTTTTCGAAGTTATTGATAGATGGTGTGTACTTTTTCTTATCTTTCTTTCAAGAAAAACATAAATAAAAAAGAATCACATGGTGTGCATTTTATGCGTTATTCATGTCAAAGCAAAATCTCACAGAGCAACAATTTATAAAGATGAAAATATATTGTGTGCTTAATTCTTGTTTGGACAATTTTCTTTTTTAACAGGCCCCACTTACAGAAGAGCTGGTTTTTAGAGCTTGTATGATACCTTTGCTTCTTTGTGGAGGATTCAGCACCTATACAGTGGTGTTTCTTTGTCCTATATTTTTCAGTTTAGGTAAGTATAAGGATTTTCCATTTATTCACCGGTTCTTGTGATGTTATTATTTCCATGGTTTTTATTGATGGTACTGACATAGTATCTCTTTTCGTCTTTTCGTCTTCTTGAGCCGAGGGTCTATCGGAAACAGCCTCTCTACCCCATCGGGTAGAGGTAAGGTCTGCATACACACTACCCTCCCCAGACCCCACTTGTGAGACTATACTGGGTCGTTGTTGTTGTTGTTGTTTTTGTGTAAGTATTAGGATTTCCTTTTCAGATAAAACTTTCAAGAAACACCAGACATTACTTGCATATAATATTAGGATTTAAGAGTTAAGGTATATGTCTTCTGGGAATTAATACCACGTCTAGTCAATTTTTATTCTTATAATCATATTTCCTGCTAAGAAAGAAACTAAATTTTTTGAATCGTAGTTGTTATTCTCCTGTGTTCTGATCTAAATAGTGGCTAACTGGCTCACTCATACATGGAATGTATAGTTAGAACAAACACAAGCTAAGCTAATCTTCTATTTTCGCATGGAGACAATGCGACGACACAGACACTATTCAACATAGAGAATGACAAATATTTTCATAAAAATAAGGACAATGTATTGGTATACCTAGTCCTCTGTAATAAAGCGATTCCTAGATGAATTCCAATACATTTATATTCACATGAAAGAGGTATTTGAAAAATCAAATAAAAAGGAGAAGTTATTCATTGTTTGTATTCTATTTGCTAACTTATAGTCTTTGAAGATGAAGTGTGTTATTTTAATTGAAACCTCGGATGGTTTTTCATTACCTAATCAGGCGCAACTATTTGTGTTATCTGCTTGCAGCACATCTAAATCATTTGTTAGAATATGCTCAACGAAGCGGCAGCTGGCCCAAAGCTTTTGCGGTTGTAGGTATGATCTTTGTCTCAGTGTTAAATGTTTGCATATCAGAAGTCTAAGATCTCAAAGAAGAAGAAGAAGAAGAAGAAGATCTTCGTGTGAACTGATTGAATGAGATAGGTCATCACATTTTTGTGTCTCGTATGAACGGATTATTCTTTATTAGGAATAGTGTCACCCCAAAAAATCCCATACCTAGCCTTTAATGCTTCTTCCTTCTACTCTCCACCACATCAACACCTGTTACATATACAAATGTATATGCTTGCTTACTTTTTGGTGCAACATGTTAGTGGCAAATGTGTTAAAGCATGAAGCCTTGCTAGAATTTGCCTGTGCATTACACTCTCTGTGATGTTCCTACTAATGTTTTTCCAACCTTTAGCTGAAATATATCAGTAAACTTACTTCATCAAAAAAATAAAAAATAAAGCTCGTTTGTTCAACACATATTTCTTTCTCCATATATTTGGATGGATTAAGAAGTTCTGCCTTTTCACCACATAGGGAAAAGTGATAGTTTGCATTTTGACAAGGGTTTTTTGTCTTCAGGCTTCCAGCTCGGCTACACGGTCATCTTTGGATCATATGCTTCATTTGTCTTTGTTCGGACAGGTTAGCAATGCTTACACGATGCTTTATTCATATGAGAATCTCCTCTCTTCTTTTATTCATTATTTCTTTTATCTCCTCTTTTCTCATGGGGATTTGGGGTGGAGTCGGCTTCTTTTTTTTGGGCTTTATAAGAATGAGCTCTAGATTAGCATATCTTTGGGCTTGAAAAGGCAGCTTTTCAAATGCTTTTCAACATCCTATTACTTGTTTTTTCCTTTTTTGGTAATTCATCCTATTACTTGCTATTCTAGATTTCTCTTGACCCTGCCTATGCATTAACAGAAAAGCAATAAGAAATCAAGACTTGGAAAGTTTTGCCTTTGGTACCTCTATTACAGTTCCGAAGCTCTTCCCTGTGGGCTCCATGCTCCGTTACCATATCACTTTCCAATTCATTCGACCCTTCTTCTCACTGAGCTGCCCCCTGATTTGCCTTATTGCATTCCCTGTTTTCATAAATAACCTTCGTGGTTTTCAAAGTCAATTTATTTGTTCCTCTGTGGCTCCCTTTAAAATTTTCCTTGAGTTTTTCTGCTAAATCAAATCTATTTCATGTTCGAGTTACTACATTGAAATCTGTAATTTTAGGAGCTAAAATTGCCTAAACAAAAAAAAAATGCACATTTTTCTTCCGATAAGAGCTGCTAATGTTTAGTAATTGCTTTATTAAGGTCCTTAGACTCTAGTTTAACATATTTTCCTGTTTTTTCCATGTTAAAGTATTTTCCACATCATAATCCTCATCTTACTTGGATCTCCATTGTACCAAGTTTGAATGCATTGAGTTAGTATGGGAGGTGAATCCTCTGTTTTGTCACAATGGCAGCCCTTGCTAATGTTTTTCTCTCTTCTTTCTTTTGTTGGTTTATCTTTTCTATAATATTCTTTACATTTGATGCTTTTGTTTAATGCACTGTACATATATCAACTGCAGGACATCTTACCGCTCCACTAGTTGCTCATATTTTTTGCAACTATTTGGGCATACCTGTAATAATTTCACGGAGGACAGGTATGTTATTCTTTTCACTATACATATATCAACAGCAGGTATGTCATTCTTTTCACTAGCAAAGGTGCTTGTGCATGATAAGAATAAATATAGTAGGAGAAGTTAAAAATGTCGAAGTACAAGGTAATCAGTTCTTTGGTTCTAGTTCCGATTCCTTAACTTTGTCCGAGCGTGTTTGGCAAGGCTACAGTACAACTTTTCGAATAGGAATTCGCACATAATAGAGGAGATTGCATGATTAGGCATATGGTCTCAATCAGACGAATATAGCAGTTTTATCTTTCTTTAGGAGAAATATTGTGCCTGCTTCAAGAGAATATAATGTTGGATTTAAATGCGCTTAAATAGAGCAAATTGGACTATGAGGATTCATATAGTCTAACCCAACTTGCTGGTGATCGAGGCGTAGCAGTAGTTGTTGTTCAAGAGAATATAATAGATTGTGACCTAATGATAGATGTATAATTGTCAACAAGAACTAAAATGCATGAATATGCATAGGTGCCACTTCATTTCTGAAATTCATTCGATATCAAGCATCTTGTCGCACAACCAAGCATGTTAAGTTACATATCAGTCCTTGCACCCAAGGCTGTGGTAAATGAAGTGGGTGAAAACCATGGGAGATCGGGGTTCAAATTCCGGCAGAGAAAAAAAAACCTTAGGTGATTTACTCTCATCTAGTAAACCTTGGTTAGTAGAGTTAAACAGTTTTTGTGTTGGTTGGGAGGTATCAGGTACTCGATGCAATTGTTGAGGTGCACACAAACTGGCCTGAACATCATTGTTATTAAAATAAAAAAGGACGTTACATATCAGTCTCCCAATCAGATCACCAGTTTTTTTACATTTTGGCCAACTTTCCTTAAGTATCTTTCTTGTTGTTGTCTTGTGTCTCAGTTTTCTGATTGGAGTGCCTACTGCTAGTTTTGTATTTTTTCTTCGGTTGTTGGATCAGTTTGCTTGCTATTGCCCATCCCATCTCCCCGTCCCGAGCCGAGGGTCTACCGGAAACAGCCTCTCTGCCTTACTAAAGGCAGGGGTAAGGTTGTGTAGACTCTACCCTCCCCAGACCCCACTTGTGGGACTACACTGGGTATGTTGTTGTTTCCTTAAGTATCTTCATTTGTTGCAAGGTATGGGAATTTTGATATTTAGGAATATTCTTCCTAAGAATACTAATGACAATTCTTGTTTCCTCTTATATGGTGGCTTAGGGATGGTAACAGTGGCATCTGTAGCTGGGTTTCTAGGTTTCCTCTGGCTTCTTTTTCCACTCACCAGTCCTCATTTGTACAATGCCAGAACAGATAATTGCATGTGCTGGCATAGACATTGTAGTTGGAGCTAATTTTCTGACTTCCCAGAAAATTCGTCGAGAATTAAAAAAAAACACGAACAATATGGAAATTTCTAGTCCTTCTCGATTGTATTAGTGAAGGGGAGAGTGGCGTTATAGGTCACAAGTTCAAGGAATCGGGCACTAACCTTATGTTAGGGTAAGCAACCTACGCCACACCCCTTTAGGGTGCGGTCCTTCCTTGTACCCTGCGTGAATGCGAGACGCTTCGTGCATCGGGCTCCCTTTTCTTTCCAATTGTATTTGTATTTTATTTTTCCCTTTTTCTTTTAACCCTTAATTTAGCAATCATTGTCACGTCTTCTGAAAAATCTGAAGGGAACTTTATCATGAGTTTACTATTGAAACATTTGCTTGAAATACCGTTGGTTCTTTTCTTTCTTGGCTAAAAGAAGTTAAAGTTATTTCATAAAACAAAGTTATGATAATACTATAACCTCAGTTTTGTGTAATTAATAGAGAATATCTACACGGATATCATATTGCTATAACTTTATGGTGCTCAGTTTAATAATCGAGAAAGACGGAAAGGAAAGAAAATTGTAGAAGAGTTAATTCTAGCACTCATTGATCAATATTGAATAGGATTATCATTCTTTTATTACTTGAAGCAAATTTTCTTTTGCTTGAGACATTGTAAATATTCTGAATTAGTCTTAAAAGATGAAAACATAGAAAGAAATATTTTTCTATCTTTAATATGATTATTATTTTTGAATGTTAGTTGATTCATTTTGTAATCAGTTTATGATTTCTGGACCAAGAATTTCTTGTATGCATATTGGTTGGCATGAAACTTTCAATATTAATATTTGAATAGTTACATTTGAATTCTTAAAAGTTGAAAAATTCTGTAGAAAATATAACTAATGGAATGGTGTCAGACATCTTAGAACGCCCCCAGTATGGACAGAGCAACATATTTTGACGGCTCATTTTAATTATTCCGCTTAGTCATAGTTCAACAAAGGAAAAATATCTGTATAGTCGCTGTAAAGTAATAGTCGAAAAAATATATAAAATTTATATGTATATTCTGTATGTTATATATAAAAATTATACAAGTTCTATATTTTTTTTTCGATTACCAGATATAAATAGTTTCTGGCGCAGGTTAAAAGTGATAATACTCCTTCAACAAATTTGTATATATTGTCTAATTTGACCATCTTAATGACTTTGAATGATAATGTTGAGAAATATTATTGGAACGGGTCTACCTATAAGGGGTGCTAGATTATGGGACAAGTGCACAGATAGCCATTCTTAGGGATATCATTTAGAGATTAGTCAATACATATTTTGTCCTGAAATTTTAAACTAAAAGTCTTCACTTCAGGACAATTCGGGATATTTTGTCCCGAAAATTTGAACTAAAAATTTAAAATTCAGGACGCACTGGCTAAGTTTTAAATAGCAGCCCTTTTGAGTGGTTACCTGGTGGCATTTTTACCTAGATTATCCATAGCCCATTAGTAAGTTCTTCTTCTAAACTCTACTTATAAGGGATTTTTATCTAGCTATACTATAATAGAAATCTATTTACTACCTTTATTTAAGCTCCTCGTTAATTACTTTATATACCTATATTTACTAGTTTTATACAAAATCATAAAAAGGAGGAAATGCAACATACCTTAAATATAGCGTATCAGTTACACATAATCCCCTACATTTAAGATTCTCTTCCTTTTCCAAAAGGATTACAAAAACATATTTCAATTTTGTACTTACCCACTGTAAGAATTCTCCCTTACTCACTGATGCCCAAAATCTTTCTAATCCAAAAATCTCGCTTACTCACTCCTCTTCCAAAGCTTTTGATATTCGATTTCTCTCTTTCAATCATCCACTGTTATCCCCCAAAATTGCAGATTCTTTCTTCTTTCAAAGCTTTTGATATCCGATTTCTCTCTTTCAATCGTCCAAATTCTCAATTGAATAAATAAACCCATAGTGGAAGAGATTACAAGAACAAGGTTGCAAGTTTCTGCAGCTTAGAGGGGATAAAATTACAAACTAGCAACAAAAGAATAATATGTACTTTCAAGAAATAATTTACACAAAACAAGCGCAACTATGAACCAAAGGCAGTCACATATTTGCAAAACTGCCTTTGTCGTGGATACTTTACACTTGAAATACACCTCTCATTCCTCTAATTTACACATATTTGCTCTACAATCAAGCTGTGGGTAAGTTGTGGATACAATACTAATACGATTATAATACTATTATATTACATTTTTAGTGTAGAGTTGTGATTGAAACTTGAGGAAAATAAAGATCATAATTGTATCACAATTTTTCAGAAATGTATCGCGATTGTATATGTATCATAATTGTTGCAGGAATTGTATTACAAATGTATGATAATTGTATATTCATTGTATATTGTTACGAGCAGTTGTGAATTCTTGATGAATTTCACAATCTGTATCACAAATATGATAATTATATATTAATTTATTAGTATTGTATCAGGTATTATTTTGGGTATTAATGTACCGGATACAAGTTTGATACAATTGTGATACAAGTATGATACATTTATATTTTAGGCGTTGATGTATCTGATACAATTCAACTACAATTATGATACAGTTATCATACAATTTCTGAATATTTTTTAATAATATAAAGTTGTAGGCAATGGTGAAGAGAGAAGATGGAGATTCTGGACGTAGATTAAGGGATTTGATTTTTTTTAAAAGGAGAGAGAAGAGGAGAAGGAAAAAAAAAAGGAAAGGATGTAATTGAATCCCTTAATTGAAGGCACTAGTAATGGGGTGAGAGCCTTTTAAGAAGCAGTGTATACAAGTGATAAGAAAAACGTAGATACTTATTAAAAACTGCATAACATAGAGAACATAGGATAATAAGTTTCTAATATTATAGAAGTAGGTAAAAATCCCAACTTCTTATAACTTGTAAATATACCATTGTGGGTTCAGAGAAAATAAGTTTTTTTCCCTAGTGTTCCTATGTACAATATATGACGGCTAGGTTAGATTCTCTGCATCTAAGAGAGGGGGTAATAGGTTGTGGACAAAGTTAATTTATCCGCTTTGTGAGAATTTTCGACGATCGGTGACACAAGTCGTGATTATTGTAGATTCACTTCCGCAAAAAAGAAACGTATATTTCTCCTAACTAGTATTTACGGGCTAAATACTACAGATAAAAACAAATGAAAAAGAAGTAGGACACTAAAGACCAGTAATAGAACATAAACGAAGAATAATGATTATACAATCAGATTTCTCTATAACAGTATCCTTATATAACAACACTTTATTATAAAAGCTAAGTTTATTCGGAACCAAATGTCATGTTATATTATAATATATGTTCTCTGTAACAGCAACTAACTATAACATTAAAAATATCCGGAACAAACGCGACTGTTATAGAGAGGTTTGACTATATTGAAAAATTTTTGGAGAGGAGAAGGGGGAGGACATGTTGAAGTGATGGAGAAATACGTACTTAATTTCAAACTTGACTTTTTCTAACAAGAAGTCCCATACCAATGAAAATCCATTCAACAAAATAATCAATGAGTATTCATAAATTGAAAGAAGAAAAAAAAGTTTTCCCTCATAATTATTAGGTGTATGCGTGTAAGACTATTATTATAAATGTGTAGATTTCATTTCTTGATGTTTTTGAAAGGATGTTTTTGGAAGAAAAACAAATGATGTCTTTTAGATATAGGTTCTGATGACCAAGATCTTCAAAAGGATATTCTCATCAACCAAAGATGACCTAAGTCTTTCTCAGATATAAAATATTATGATATTAAATAAGAAAAAAATAAATAATAAAAGGAGTGAAGAAATAAGAAACTGAAATTGACATCATTTCTGAGTGATGGGAATGCATTTATATAATTTATTGGAAGATTTTGGCAGCTTGTTATAAGGACATTTTTTACAGTAATCATAGCCTATATGAGGCTTCTGTCTTTAGCTTCTATGGTTTGACTTGTGTTCAAAAAATTTGTTATTATTTGGGATTTTATTGAAGTGACATGCAAACCCTAGATATTCAGATTATGATGAAGAAGAAGATCAACATAATTTGAAATCTCTTGGATAAGAAATGAAGAAAATTGACTATGGGATATGATGGCCAAAATTTTAATCATTTCCTTTGGTTGCAATTTTTTTTTTTTTTTTTTTTTTTGTGATATTCTTACCAAGGGGATGAGGAAAGTGTGGAGTAAGGGAAAAAAGTAAGGGAATTGTTAAATGAAAATTGAATTATGGCACTTCTAGACTGCAAAGTAGAAATTTTCTCACAAAATTTCCTTAAAAAAAAATAAAAACACTCTTGGTGGTTGTTATGCGGAGTAATTTTATTATTGGAATTTTTTTTGGATAAGAAATGAAGAAAATTGACTATGGGATATAAAAGGACAGCCCGATGCATAAGGTATACCGCGTGCACGCAGGTTTCGGGGAAGGGTCGCACCCAAGGAGTGTGATGTAGACAGCCTACCCTAATGCAAGGATTAGTGGCTGCTTACAGAACTCGAACTCGTGACCCATAGATTACACGAAGACAACTTTACCGTTCATTTGGTTGCATATGTATATTTTTAAGCGAACCAAACTCTCACCTAGGGGAAGGGGATGAGGGAAGTATAGAGTAACGAAAAAGTGAAGGGAATGGTTAAATGAAAATTGAATTAATTATCTCTAGAGTGCAAAGTAGAAATTCTCTCACAATTTCCACACAAAAATCTTGGTTTTATATGCAGAGTAACTTTATTGTACCTCAAAACAAGTGACTTTATTAAGTAATTTGGTCAATATGAATGACTATTTAAGAAATTAACTCTAAAACTAGTGCTTAGTTTTTCTTCGAATTAAAGATTAAGAAGTTATCTGCAACAACCCTGCAAAGATCCAATATATATTTTTTGGTTTCCCACCCGATATCCAGTACCTACATTGAGATCTGATTAAATTTGAATTTATATCGGAAAATTCCATATTGGGGTAAAGCGACCGAAAAATCTCTTGCTCATTCCCTTCTTGAGCATTTCTAGAGAATTAAATAACTTTTCTTTTTACTAAACTACTCTTTATTTTTCACGTATTTTGTATTACTTAAAAGTTATATTGGACCATCTTTGGAACATGTGTTCTTAAATCAATAAGAGAAAATTACCACACGCAAAAAAAAATATCAATAAGAGAAATATAAAAAAAGGAAAAAGCTGCGCACGTATTAGAACACATGGAGCTCTTTGTTTAATTATACCTAGTGACAATATTTAGTGCATTGCAGATTTATAATGCACAATAAATTAGTTTTATTAACCTTACTCCACATATCATAATAATATTTGCGGAACCACGATGAATTCAACTCTCACACGTAGTCGGCAGAGGGGGAAGGGAAGCGCTACCTATCAAAGATAACTCCATACTTAAAACTCGAACTCAAAATTTTTAACTAAGGATAGTAGAATACCTCTCGACTCACAACAAAAGTAATTTAAGTTGTACTATTTATTTTTGATTTTTCACACGGCGTCCGGTATCTCGCATTGGGAATCCGACTAGATCTGAGTTTGCACCGAAAAGTCTTACATCAGGAAGTAAAGTGCTCCCTAACTTTTGTTTTTGGTTTTCCATCCGGTGCTTGGCATCTTGCATTGAGACTAGGTTAAATATGGATTCGCATCGGGAAGTCCCACATTAGGGGTAAAACGCTCTCTATCGGAGCGACTTCATACCCAGGACTCGAACCAAACCTCTGATTAAGAATAAAGTAGTACTTACCACTCAACAACACCCGTGTTGGTATCTAAGTTGTTCTATTTGAATAACCTATGATGTGTACTAGTTTTGAGGATGGTCAACCTGAGGTGGATGGCATCAGCAAATGACAAGACGCCACGTCATATCCAAAAAGGGTTTGAAGATATGGTGGGGTCCTACTTACTAATAGTAAGAACGTAAGTACTAAAATCCTCATTGACTTTATAACATATTTAAATCTTTTCTATGACGTTTCCTCTGATTGGATTTCCCCTCACTGAATCCCTTTGATTTGCCTATTTTTCTTATTTTTTCCATTAAAAATTTCATCCATCATCCGAATAACCAGTAATAAGGAAAAAAATCAACTTTGTCATTAGAGGTTTTATACCTTTTTATAAGAGAAAGAGAGAGAAGAGTAATATTTTGCGATAAACGAAAAATAAAAAAAACAGCCTGGTGTACTAAGTTTCCGCTATGTGCAGGGTTCGTGGAAGAGCCTGACCACAAGGATCTATTGTGCGCAACCTTACCATACATTTCTGCAAGAGGCTGTTTCTACTGCTCGAATCTGTGTCCCCCTGGTCACATGACAACAACTTTACTAGTTACTCAAGGCTCCCTTCAAAACCAAAAATGTTATCGAAAAATGTTAGTAGTATAGGCTTGAGATCAGGGTATCATCAGTTGAGGATTCGGGACTCGAATGTTCCGAAAACTGCCTTCCGTACTAGACTCAAAAATTTCCTTTATATTTATTTTATTGCGTGTGACCTCAAACTAAACTACTTTTTCCAGCAAAGATCTATTAAAGAGATTAAAGTGTTAGAAACTAAAATAACATCACCTAAATACCTGACTTGATATTAAAGTTACATCAATTAAGTCCTCTCCTATTTGTTTTTATTTTGAACTGGATAAATTAATCCATCCAATCTTTTCTGCTAGATTTTGTACGTTATATCCATCAGCAAAAAATTGAGAAACTTATTTGAAGTTTCAGAATTGTTATGAGGTTATATATGCAACGAAATTATTAAATCACTGAAGCATTTACTTGGTCCAAATTAAAGGCTATTAATGCAATATCCCTAAATAATGAAGTTGGATCTAGCACTCTAAATTTCCCTAGTATAAGTACTACTTATTATGCTAAATTTGGAACATATTCCCAAATAATCTTGTATGGAAAAACAGAGCAAAAACATGTAATATATTTTGTTTAAAAGACTATTCTTTTTAATTTTTTTAATTAAATTGGGAGGAGGTAATGTCAAGGGTATATTACGTTTTTGATGGGTTTTAAAATTTATTTACCATACATTAAAAATCGGAGCTAAAATTTTCTTTTTCTTTTTATTACAACCTTATGTCAAATCTATCAGCCTATCAAGTAGTTTAGAAGAGTAAAGAGGTGTTTTCAAAGATCTACAGGCCAAAAATCTGTTATAATTTTTCTTTAATTAATAGCTTTGTTTGGATTAACCTATTAGATACACATTTAGAAAAAAAGTCGACAATTTAGGAAAAGATACTTCATTAACTACAAATAAATGGATTATTATAAAACAACACTCTTATGGTAACTAGTAAAAGAAGATTGGTAACATAATACTCCCCCGTCTCAATATTTTCTGTGTTGTTTCTCTTTTACACGCCTCTTAAGAAATATTAAATAAGGAAGGAATTAAGATTATTTTACCTTTATTTATGTCTTAAAATAAAAAATTTCTTTATTGAATAATTATTCTATTTATGTCTTATCTCCATCTTCAAAAATACTTACTAAGAGTAGAAAAGGAAAAAATTAATTAATTTTATCTTGAACTTCTAAAATGACAAATAATTTGAGACAGCTATTTTTAGTAATAATATGAAACGCAATAGTATCTAAAAGACAGCTAGCCAAGAAAGGCAAATTACTTACTAATTATATACTAGTTCATTGTAGTTCTATTTCAAGTAAATTACGCAAAAGACACTGTTGTGACACAGAAAAGATTACATTATTTTTCTATCAACTCATGCTACATTACTTAATTTAGTATATTTTAACTTTCCAAAAAACATAAATAAATCAATAAATAAACAAGGAAAGTTAAAGAGAGAAATATATAAAGGATGCATATATTTCTTTGTAGCTGATAGATTTGATTACAACTTCTGAGCTCCAAAATAGAACTACCCTATCCAACCCCCCACCCACCCCCCCACCCCCCAATACTAAAAAAAACAAAATATGTAAACAGAAAAATATATATTCCTTCCTCCTCCTACCTATTCTACTACTACATATAACTAAAACTGCAAAAGATCAACATCCATAACTTCCAACTATTTGACTACTACTATAATAATACTACTAATATTTAATATTTAACACCCCAAAAAAAAAACCATAATACTAGTAGTTCAATGACTAGGTGGGACCCATGATAATATTTAATTTATTTTTTATTTTTTGTTGGATTTTGAAGCAGATTTGGAGGAAGAACAATTGGTGAGATTAAGATCAGGAATATTGTTGTTGTTTTTTCCTCCACTAGAACCAGCACCATTTGCTTTTGAAAGCCTATGCTTAAGTTCATTCAAAAGTTGTTGATTTTCTTGATTCAGAAGCTCAGCTTTTTTCCTTAGCCTCTCATTTTCAGCCATTATGTACACATTTTGTAAGTATAGCTTTGAGTTGAGTCTGTCCATTTCCTGAAAAAAAAAAATATTATTTGATATTTATCATAATCTAAACAATGCAGCTATGACATTATGAAATAACAAATAAATAAATGAAATGATGAAAAAAGGGAGGAAACTAAAGGAAATGATGAGATGCAGAGGGGAAATGCAGTGTAATTAATGGAATTGCCTAACCTTTGTATGGTAGGGAAAGTAGGGGAAATCATTACAATTCAGAGAGGGCAAGTGGGGATGAAGAAAACATAGAACATGTAGTGTTGATAGTACAACTAATATAATGCTGAAAATTTCTTATTAAAAAATTAAGTAATGTTACTAAAAACAAAGCAAATAGAATAAGAAAAATCTTCAAATCTTCACACTTTCAAGAATTGGTTCCTTTTTATTGTCCTCATCTGGAAGACAAGAATAAAGTCTAGAGAGCAAGACAAACTTCTTATTTACACACACAGAAAAGAATTATTGGAAATCAAGAAAAGGTAGAGAAGAAAAAAGGAAATTTGTAATATTCCCAAGTTGAACATGCATGAAATTGATCAAGATTACATAGAGGGAGAGGAAAAACCTTGCAAATTTTCAAAAAAGTGAATATAACAAATATTCCTAGGTTAACAATTTTTTCAAGTAAAGGAACATTCTTTTTTCATTTACAACCTATGTACCTAAGACATAAAAATATGGGAGTATCTAAGAAGTAACTAATTTCATTCTCACAAAAGAAAAAGAAAGAAATAGAGAAGAAAAGAGACTCATAAAACCTTTGAGAATATTAGTTTGTAGGAGAAGACAAAAGGAATAAACAAAAGAAAGTTCTAAACTTTAAAAATGCAGCAATGCAAAAAGCTTTTGTCTATCTTTGTTGGTGAAATATAAGAAAAACAATGAGACAAACAAAGAGTGTTGTGTTGTGTGTGTGTGTGTGTTTGTGTGTGTGTGTGGGTGGGGGTGGGTGGGGGTGGGGGGGGGGTTGTTGTTCTTTATCTTTTCAAAAAAGATTACCTTTCGTAGGACTTGGTTAGTTATAGAACAAGAAGAAGAAGAACAACTAGTTCTTGGGCAGTAAAAATTGTAGACAAATATTGGAGTGAAACAAAAGGGAGTAGCAAGTCAATATATATAGTGGCAAAAGTAGGAGAGAGAGTGAGAGAGGAAAAGAGAGAGAGAGAGAGATAAATCTTTATGGGGTTTGTTTCTCTGCACAATAATCATGCATGTGTAAGCATGGAAGGCGGCTTGTGTATAATTGTAATCTATAGGAAGCAAAGGACAAAGGCCTTAACCCCGACGCTGATTCAGGATTTTAAGTTTATGGGTTTTTATAATAATATTAAGTCAATAGACAATAATAATCGGACCATCAAACCAACGAATTAGATTCTGAACTAAATATTCTTATATATTTAACAAAATTTTCAATATAAATACAAAATTTAGACAAAAATTACTGAATTTACGTGAAGCTGTAACTTTTGCACTAGATCAGCCCTAATTTAACCTCCTCCTCCTCTTCTTCTATTCTACTATGATAATGATGATTATAGTGTTTTTTGATGGCGTCATGTGAATGATGGTTTTTTTTTTTGGCAGTAAAGGGTATTTATGTCTTTGTAAGAAGGTAAACTAAGGGTAGTTTTGTCATTTTGTATAGAGATTTGGGCCTTAAGTTGGGGTATTTTGGGTAATTCATGAGTTTGTCCAATGATGGTAGGGGCTTGGTCTTCCAAAGATTCGCAATGATGTTTTGGATTGGTTCGAACCAAGGCAGCTAGCCCATCATCACGTCCACACCCCCACCCCCCTCTTGCCCACCCACCACACCTAATCGTAATTGGTAAAAATTTACTCGTATCGGTATTTACATCAAATCGATAAATGCAAGATATAACTCTATTTTGCCGAAATTATATTTATATATATATATATATATATATATATATATATATATATATATATATATATATATATATATATATATATATATATATATATATATATNACTATGCCTTATAAAAAGGACAATGCGGTCGCTGCAAATATAATCCGGTTTACAAGTCCGGAGTCGAATCCCACAGAGAACTAAGGTTTAGCTATAGTTGTTCACTATCACCAAGAAGACAAGCTTGAACAATTCCTAACTTATAGATATTAAGATTCTTCTGTTTAACTAATTAACTAACAAATTAAAATAGTAAATTAACAACTAACGATACTGAGGGTTAGAGAAAAGATTAAGGAGGTCTAGAGTTATGATTTCCCCAATTGTCGGAATCCTTCCCGCTATGTCTTCTATAATTTCGCCTAAGTATTCTCTACCGATCATGAGCACTCTTATTACCGTAAATCTCTCCCGAGTAATTACGACAATTTACTAGACGCACTCTCCCGAGCTACGCTAGCTGGCTTTTAATACAGCTCACTTCAGATCGCACCCAAGGCTTTGTTATCCCTAATCCCACCTTTAAACCCTCGGTTATTGATCCCTCATATACTCTGGGAGTGGTGTTGTTCAACAATTACCTAAATATGCACTCTCTCCCGAGTTATGCATACTAAATAGGCACAGCTAATTGAGAGCTCTTCAACCAACCAGAATATAAACGTAGTTGAACAAATAGAGAAAAGCTATGGCTCAATTATATAAAAACATAACAAGAATTCATCCTACAACAGGTTCTATCAAAACTCTAGATAACAAATTAGCTATTCATAATAGTATGTACAATACTAAAAGTCATAACCAACAATGAAAAATAGGAAGAGGAAGGAAAAACTGGTAGAAGAATTCTCCGCCTTGCTCCCAATGTGTTCTTGCCTCCTTAGGTCGAATCTATGTCCAAAATATGTCCCCCGAACACGATCCCGGCTTAATTCCTTGAGCTTTTACTCAGACTTCAAAGCTTCAAATCACTTAAATTCATTCCATAACATCTATATAGCTCGGAATCACACCTACAAGGCACAAAAAACACAATTAGTGCAAAACACTAGCGATTAAAGAGCAAACTCAATTAAAGTGCAGTAAATTCGAGTGTAATAAGCGACTAAAAAATGCAATTATAGCCTACCATCAATATTAACTTGAGATTGTTGTAGAGACTAGAGATTTATAAGGGTCTGCCTTTGATTTTTACTTTTTAGTTTTTTACTGCTTAGATTATGTTACTTGATTTGATGTAAATATCGTACGGATAAGTATTTATTATCCTAAATTATGAGTTTTTCATATGGTTTGTGAAACTAAAATCTTGTTTCTCTTCTATGTTTATCCTTTTGCTTAATCCTTCTTTTGTCCTCTTTATAGAAATTCCTTAGAAATTTTCTTGGATTGACTAATTTGCCCATTTGAGAATTGTTAAGTCTCGAGTATTTCTCTAGACCATCACTTATTTTGTTTTTTATATTACAGTTAGTGTTATTGAGGGGTAAATTTGTATTATTGAACCGTCATTATTATTATTATTATTATTATTATTATTATTATTATTATTTTACTTCTGAGCCGTGTCAATAGCGATTATCAACTATAGGAACCAATTTTTGCCCTTTCAAATTCGAATTGGCTATTACATAATAGTATTTTGTTTTTTACTTAGGTAATGCTAATAATAATCATAATTATTTCTGCCAAGTATCATAAGGTAAGCATTCTTTTTGCCATATTAAGTGTGAATAATTTGAAAATAATAATTAGAGGTTTTTACAGATGGACTAACCTCATGGGTTATGAGTGCATTAACGTGAAAGATGATAGCCATAAGCTCTTGACATGTAATTAATGTTTTTTTTAATGGAAGTATTGTATTTTTTTCTCATTCATGTTAATGTTGTGGTTGTATATTAATTTGTAAAATCCTAAGGTTTTTTCTCGTGATTTTCTCTGAAATTCCCCCCTATTTCGCTTTGATTAATCATCAAGTTGCATATTAATTATGATATTGTTTCATTTTTCTAGGCAATATAATTTAACTATCAATGAACACTCTATTTGTCAAAAACAAAATAAATTATTACCCATTTTTCTTGAAATATCTTAAAGCCGCTAAAAAAATTTACCTAACATAATCACAAAAAGAAGGGGATTTTTTTTTTTTTATTAATACAAGTTTTCTATAGATTAATTTGAGTGAATTCTATAATTTCCGGCTTAATTTTTGTAATTGAGGACGTATTGTCAGCTTATATTTTAAAAAATTACTGCATTCGTTTAGTGTAGAAAATTTTGGTTATTTTATTGATCTTCTAAATTCTGATGGCATGTCAGCACATATTCGATTTTCTTAAAATGCATTATGTTGGAAAATCAATAAATCTAGAAAAAACATTAGTTTTGCATTTGATTAATGCAGTAAAAACGATACTACTAGAAAATGTAGATAAAATAAACAGTAGATTATATTAAATAAATAACAAGATCAATTTGACATGCCATCTAGGGTAACTTTACAATTGGTTGTCACAAAAAAAGAAGAAAAAGAAAACATATTATTAATAAATAATCGAATGTTTTCCTTTTACCCTTTTGTCCATTTATATATTATACTTTGTAAGCTTTGTTCTATTTTATTTTTTAATTTCTTGTGAAATAGTGAACTTTTATGACGAGGAATGTCGCCTGATTTACAACTGCTAATTGAAATTTAGTTACAGTTTCAAAAGTAACGAAAATTTAGTCACTTTTACATGTGAAAATAAAATTTGAACAAAAATATCCTTAAAATCCTGAAAAATTCCAGCATAATTTGCTGGAATTCGAACTATTTACATATGAGATTTCAACATAATGTGCTTGAATTCATAATATGTTGGAGTTCCAACATAATATGCGGGAAGTTTATACGCAAGAGTTTCATAATCGAACATATTATGCTAAAACTTTTCCTGTTTCAGTTAGGGTATTTTTGTTCAAATTTTATCTTTGCTTTAAATAGTGGCTACTTTTCAAAATTTAGTAAACACGGACTATTTTGTAATAACCACCCGTAAAAATGGCTATGACATGTCATTTTGACATATTTTACCCATAAATAAATACATCAAGGAGTAAACAAAAAATTTCCTAAATTCAAAATGATTGTTACCAGCAAAATACCAAATTAACCAAAGGGGAAAAAATGGAAAATTCCCTAACGTGCATAAAAGGGTAATCACTAGTTAGCCAAAACGTTTTTTTCTGTGTGTGTATGTGTGTGTTTTCTTTTTCTTAAAAAATCATAAAGCCGCTAAAATTTTTTTACCTAAGAGAATCATAAAAAGAAGGAGGTGTTATGAAACAATAAAGAAGAAGAATATTGCAAGGAAAAGTAGGGAGAGAGAATTCTTATTTATT